ATATTAAGTAAAAAATAAGAAGAACCCTAATTAGCCACAGCCATGTCACTGTAATATGGACCTCTCATGGTCTACAGTTAAGAAGTTGCACTGCCAATCCAAAAGCATGCAGTTCAAATCCAACAGCTGCTCCACAGAAGAAAGGGCATGTTCTCTTAGACAATTTACTGCCTCTGAAAACACAGTGGAGGTCAGTTATGAGATGGTTCTGGTTCTGACTCCACAGTATACAACAACAATAACAAAGAAAATTATGTCAGTATAGTCTGGAAATGGGGGTTTTCCTCCCCCCAAGGGAGATTTTCTGCACAATATTTATTTGGATTTCTTTCTAGTATGTTCTGAAAAACCCAGTTTATTTTCTAAAATTAATGCAAAGTCTTCATAGCATATTAAAACCTTAAGAGAGGAAGGTGAAAATGGATTTCTTCCTTTTCAGAAAGGAACTGCTGAACATTCCAATACTGCTATGTCATTAAGAGGAATATGAAAAGACAGTAACTCTCGTTTCACAGTAACAATGACTGCGCTGCACAGCACTCTAGTGTCCTTGTGGGGAAGGAGCTGTGCTGCCAACCCAAAGCCCAGTAGTTCAAATTCAAATTCACTAGCTGCTCTGAGAAAGATGGGTAATTTACAGGCTCTGAAAACCCAAAAGAGAGTCAGCTATGAGCAGGTTCCAAGCCAAATGCAGTAAGGAATTTTTGGCACCCTCATTCATTACTTTCTACATTTCTAGTCTATCAAGGGGAAGAAGGAGAAAGACAGAGGGAGGGGAGTGGGGGGAGAGAGAGAGACAGAGACAGAGAAAGAGAGAGAGATGCGGGTGGGAGTCAAGAGTGAATGAGCACAAGGGGCTCACTGGAGCACTGTGAGGATGGCCCATAAAGATGCTGCATTCTGTTGTACACAGGGCTGCTACCAGTCAGAACTGGCTTGGTTAACACCTATCAACACAACAGTCTATAACTGAAGACACTCTGGTGGTGCTGTGGGTGAAACCCACCTGACGCTCCACGGCACACAGATTACAGCCTTGGGAATCCTATGTGTAGGTAGCTGTAAGCTGTCCTACAGAGTCACTGTTTTAGAATCAACTCAATGGCAGTGGGTTTTTTACTCTTTACTAAAGCATTATAACAGAAATGGCATCATAATGATTTAATGATTCATCTAAACGTGCTTTAAAAAGGAAATAAAAATATTTATAAAAACACAATCATGAGGAGTCCTGGAAATAACAGGTAGGGAGAAGAAAAGGAACTTGAGGTGGGATGGCAGACCAAGCTGACTGAAGGACACTCTCTCCTCAGGGTCACACAGAAAGCAGAGAGGCACATACAGAGCAGCTGGACGGCACATACCTGAGTAGGCTGGACTAAGAGGGAAATCCTATAGAAGGAAGACAATGGAACCCTACGGGTATTTCAATGGCCATGAACAGGTCAGCAGATCTTAGCTCCCAACTGCTAGAAAACGCTTACCTCAGCAAACCTCCACCTGCACTGGGAGGACTCAGGAGTCCATGAAAAGATCCCTCTCGCCCCATAGCAAGGAGGCCAGTACCACCGGAAGCCTCGTGAGAGGCCCTTTAGCTCAAGAAAGCCATTTGGGGAAAAAAATCACACAGAAGTAGGAGTTGCATGAGCAGAAGCGTCAAAGAAACTCACTTATCTAAGGGCAAAAATTAAATAGAAAACTATATGCAGAACATATTATCCAGGAGGCTGGGCTCTATGAGGAGAAATGTGGGGTCAAGATTGGTGGACAATTTATCAACAACCTGCGTTATGCAGATGACACAACCCT